CACCGCGCCTGCACGCGGGATGCTCGTCTCCTCGACGCCGATTGTCGTCAGTGAGCGCCGATTCGCCCGTTTTGAACGTTCCATGCTCTCTTCCGCAACAGAAACGCGTTGCAATTGAACGATATATTTTAACAACGAATTAATCACGGTGAGAATAAATAATAATCCGATTTAAAGAGTACACGTAGTAAAGGGTTTTTCTTCGACGAAATTCAAGGATTACCGGTGTCTTTTTCCTTTTTTTTTCTTTTTTAAACAATCCATAGGATTGGACTTTGAACCAGCTATACCAGTTTTCGCCGGAAACCAGTTGCAGAAATTATAAAAATACACTTGTCGTTGGGGATTATTGATTGATCGAGGAATACAAAAGAGCGATAATTTCTCGATTATCATTCGAATATTTAAAATTCTCTTCTGAACAACCATCGAGTTTCCAACAACTTTCTCCGTTTCGAAAACGATCGAAACATGTGATTTGTTCGAGTGTAAATCCGAGGATCGTTTAAATAGCCTGTCGATTTAAATCCCTTCGTGGAGGGGGCAGCTGGAGGAGGAGAGTGTATACCTGGCCTTTTCAATGCCTCGATCCCGTTTTTTCGGGGCAGGGAAAAGAGATACTCGAGAGACCCCATGGCCGCCTGGTGGAATCCTTGGCTCGTGCTTCCGCGTGCGAATAGAAATCCCTAGGAGCAGCAGTCGTGTCTGGAACGAACGCCACGATTGAGGGAAAGTGAGACGCGAATTTTTAAATTTTTAAAATTCCTGCGGAAATAGACAATGGACTACAGTGTTCTACAGATTATGGTGAATTAATGGTTGAATATTGATTTGAATATAATAGTCGTTGAGAAGATGATTAATGAGGTTAAACGTGGAAATTATACGATAAAGTTTGCATGAAAGAGTTCAGATCTTAGGGAGACGATTGGTTGACAGGGTTTGATGAATCGCCTCGTCGATTAACTGAAAACCTATTCAAGAAAATCCGTTGGAACGTTTCGTTATCTGTTCCTTCCTCGCCTTAACTCTCTCCACTTTCCTTGAAATTGGAATCCCCTCCTCGACTCGAACCGATACAAATATCAAAAAAAGAAGGAAAAAATAGTTGCTCGAAAATTACGAAGATCGTTCAATCGCGCCGCGTTGTCAACAATCGATCAACGATCGATCGAAAGAAAAAAGCGGGAGAAACTTCAAGAAGAGGGGAGGCAATTGTTTCTCTGTGACGCCATCACCGAATTGCCCTGCATCCTGACATTGGTCTTATCGCTTACAACAAAATCATTTCATCGACTACGAGAAATCGTTTTGTATACCTTTTCCAATTTGATCACTGAAAATTTGATAAAACACGAAACGATGGATACGAAGCGGAAAAGAAAGTGAAAACACGATAGTAGAATTCTACTATGGAAATGATCAATAAAATTTTGTGCAAAGTGAAGTGAAATAAAGGTTTTCGAAGATGTCAATCGTCGGGTATATTATTTAGAAAAGATGGTGGAAAATCGCTTGCTCGAACCATAGGATCCTTCTTCGACTGGATGTCTTCGAAAGAGTGAAAAAATATCGATCGCTTCGTTGCTCCACAGGTATTATATACCTGAGCGGCATTATCGGATGAGTCAGTCGCGCGATATAACTCGTTTATAATAGCATGTTTACACGCATCAATCTGTCGTGGAACGAGCGCTCGTTCGCGATTCTACCTCTCGTTGCCAGTAGCCAGCCGCGCTCTGTTAACGCGTATTAACATCGTAGCTCCAACTGTGTTCGTTGGAAGTGATTTAGGAAGGGAGAAAGAAAGGAAGAGGTTTGAAAGAAACGAATTGAATCGGACGAGATGAGATTGAGCGGTTGGAAATATTCGATCTTTTCGAATCCTCGAAGATAGCGTTGTTCTTCTTCCACGCTGGATTTTCGTTCGGAACATCTGCCGTTGTTTCTCACGCGACACGCTTCGCGTTAGCAAAGGGAAGATGTGCGTGAAACCTATGGAGGAGAACGAGGAGGACAAGGTTGTCAGCATGATCATCAATTACTTCACCGCCAGGGTAAATATCATGTGGATAAAATGCTTTTTCCAAAAAGCAAAAGTTTTTTGGGAAAAAAGGCGTTCGTTGTGAAGTAGCATAGTGGATAGATCGATGGAAAGTTGGAGAATGGTTAAAATTTTTTAAAAAAAAATTTGTTGCAATTTTCGTTCACAGTTTCATTTGAGAGAATTGATTAGGATTTTTGATGAAGGAAATTAATCGGATAATTAATTGGATAAATTTGCGCAATTTGCCGCGATTCTTCAGAGAAACTGGTAGGCTAGGAAAAAGTAAATTCGTGGATGGGTAGAGGCAGTAGTGTCGCGATTACAAGAAAGGAGCTTCTTGCTCCTTCAGACGCCTATTCGTAGAGAGTAGTAGTCTTTCTAGAAAATGTATGCAATCGTTATGTATGCGCGTGTCATCGCCGCTTCGTAATTTCCATTAATTGCAATCTTTCCGCGTAAAGTTCAAATGAATTACTATAAAAAAAAAAAAAAAAAAAAAAAAAGAAAAAAAAGGAGAAGGAAATATGCGCTTGATGATTAGAACTTTCTAACGTTTTTAACGATCGAATTTTATTACGTTATCAAATGTACAATTAAATCTATATATATATATATATATTTATGTGTATATTCATTGATTAATCCGTTTCTGGAAAAACCAATCTCGAATGCCACGAATTTCGAAATTCTCGAAAGAAACAACTTTTATGCTCGAGAAGCATAGTTGTTGATAGAAGAAGAAAATTATTTTTTTTTTTTTTTTTGGCTACGAACAATAAATAGATTTTCGAAAAAATCTCGAATAAATGCCACGAAATTCGAAAGAAACAACTTTTATGCTCGAGAAGTATAGTTGTTGATAGTTTTTTTTGGCTACGAACAATAAATAGATTTTCGAATAAATCTCGAATAAATGCCACGAAATTCGAAAGAAACAACTTTTATGCTCGAGAAGCATACTTGTTGATAGAAGAAGAAAATTATTTTTTTTTTTTTGGCTACGAACAATAAATAGATTTTCGAAAAAATCTCGAATAAATGCCACGAAATTCGAAAGAAACAACTTTTATGCGCGAGAAGTATAGTTGATAGAAGAAG